ATTTCCGAAGTTCCTTTGCTAAAGTCAGGCTATTTTAGCCTCCATTCCGTTTGTACAAAAGGATAAAAAGATTGTATTATTTGATCTTACTATGAACCGAAGAAAGATCACCATGTCGTTATGACTATCCAATCGAGGGTAGACGATCACGCTTCGTGATGATGCCACTTCAAGGAATCCGTTAGAGCCTAAAACACTACTTTTCCAAGACTTCACCGGACACGTGACTATGAATGTTGGCTGACTGTGATTGGACTAACTTAAAATGGCCCAAATTTTCCCACCCCATCAAACAGCCCATGATGAGAATTGCTTTGGACTCGTCTTCGCAACTCTGCCCTGTTGTCCCGACGACCTGATACATTCACCAAAATTTCGTTAAGAAATCTAAAAATGGAGGCCATGCACAACCTTATTCCTTCTATAATCTCTGGATGCTCCTTCAGAGTTTGTGATAGAGCCTGAACGGCTTTTTGAACAAGAATATTTGTGGACACATACACAACATATAAACTTATTAGCCTATCCTCTTCTGAAACTATCTGCTGATCATCAATTTCACAAACTTATAATAATTTTTAACTGAATATAGCCTATAATCCTCAGCTTTTCGTGGTTGTATGCATAAACAACATGGGGTTGTATGAATTAAACTTCCTTTTTATTCACAATTAATCAAGGAGGGACATCAACAATGCGCAAACCGCAAATTGTCAAAAAGACAAACTATATTCATTCCTTGATCAACTTTCTCTTGAAGCATTTTTATATCTGTTCTCTTTCCGTTCTGGTACATCCACCTCTCCCATATCTCCGTGTTTTATTTCTTATCCAAAACAGAGGGCACATCGTCTTGTCTTGGTACCTTCGAGTCCATGAATGGGTTGATTATTTTATACGTTTTGCCGAATTACTGCAGAGGCCAGCAACCTGATTAGAATGGATGAGGATGAAAAACTGAGTGGGAATTAGTTGTGGTTTTTGGACGACCAAATGGAGGAGGATATGGAGAAGGAGTTTAAAGAATTGCCTAGCTTCAAATCTGGTTTGTTCACCTGACTTCCGACACCTGAATACACACAAAACACATGTAAACGCTCCACACGGTAGAGACAAAATGCAGTTTGCGAGGCGCAAATAGACTTCACAGAACCCATCTTTAGGTGAAATTCACTTGGTCTAAAAGTGTGTATTACCCACAGATTCGAGGCTTCATCTCGCCACAATAAGACGACTGGTTATCCGTTGCTCCGCACTCATTCACTTTTGCCATTAGGGTTGGATTGGTGCAATTTATGGGGCATCTTACTACGGTTTCGTGTGTTATACCACAGTTGGATTTTAGCTCTACAAAAATTTCACACTAACACCAAGAATTTAGCCAAGACTAACCGGCTTACTTCATAGCCAGAATATACAAATAACATGAAAAAGTAGCATTCACCGAAAAGATGTGGATAAATATAGAATGATTCCAGAAATTGATATATATATATATATATAGGATTTCTTTCACACCTAAAATTGCACTTTAACACCAAGTCAAGAAGACTAAATGTTCATATGAGAGTAGGGTTTCGAGACTACCATTAAATCAGTGTAATGAGGTGTATTCACCCTATTTCGTCTAAGGTGATTAAGGACTGGTAGTAGAATTTTTCCACAATGATATGAGTTGAGCCGACGTTTCCATTCAATTTCACATAGCCTTGCTTCCCCAACGGTTGATCTCATCCAGGCACCAATGGACTGCAGTTCCGACCTCGCTCAGGTCTTATCAACACCCCCAGCGGGAGTCGAACCACTAATTGTTCAGACGGCATTGAATAAAATAAAAATGAAAAGATATATAAATATATACATTTTTTTTCACTTTTATTTAATTTAATGCTGTCTGAACGTTTAGACTTAATGATTTTGAGTTAAAGTGAAATTTTTGATGTGGATGAAATCCAATTCTTTCATGATCAGCGCAAAATCAGCCCATTTTCGCCCAAAACCGAAGAAAGATGTCTGCTGATTACGTCATATTGGACAGTGAAGTAATATTGCATGCTTGCAAAGTCAAGAAGGATCGTTCGCCGTCTTCATGAGAGAGTTCCTTAATAATCTGTTGATAATATACACTTTCCTAAAACGTGAAAACCACCAAAATAATAGCATCATTAAGGAGAGTATTTGAAAGCCGGTTCACTTTACATTTTGCAATTAACCGTTTGCAGGAATGAAATGCAACTCGTATAGAGTCTCTATTGCGTGAACACGGTCAAACCAACACTTTAGTAAACTTTCATGTCAACCCAACCCAATTTTTCGACATTCAATTCGACCAATTGGTACCTCGTACGACAGAGTGAACAAAGAGTAACAGGCTTTCGAAGAATCGTCTGGGCTAACATTATTTGAGAGACTTTCGTTTCGTGTGAAAGTGGCTGCAGAAGAGATTTCACGTCCGAGCCCACCATAATACGACGGCAGATTAACGTGGTACTGCAGCAGTTGGGCCGGACACCGTATCAAAGCCACCACCGTCTTCTGGTGGTCGGATCAGCCTATGAATCTATTCTTCACACAAGTTCATATGAATTGAAAGTCAGTTGCCAACAGGGTGGGCCAATAATGCACACCAACATCGAAAGGCAAGTGTTGCTCTGGTACAATCATGTGAATTGCAGGCATGCATAGGAAACGAATCAGTAAAAGTTGGTATCACAGCCAGCCGTCTTGCCCGGCTCTGACAAAGTCTGTCAGGCGGAAATTTGTGGACTGGTTGCCAAGACCTGTTTCTACGCTCTACAAATCACCGCAATCCAGACAATCTGAGCCGGAATAAAAGACAGCAGAACAAACGTTCTCGATGACAACCAACAATCGTCTCTCGTCCGGCCATACCGAGAAGCGTGAGTCGGCCGGTCGACGAGAAACCGAGTCCCGAAGTCTTTCCTCGCCCCGACGCGGAACACCCCTCGCTGGACCCCATCGGGTTCGAGCTCGCCTCCGTCGTCACCTCTTCCGCCGCTTCGGTCCCTTTCGCCTCAGCAACAGTCGGCCGAGTCGAGACTCGAACTCGACCCATCTGCCCGAACGGCACGATTGGCTCGCCAGTTCTGCCGCTTTCGGTACCGTCGAGGCTGGTCGGCCAGGTCGGAAGGGTTGAATTGCTGCCGTCTGAAGAAGCGGCCAGCTTCGACTGGCTCTGCTGACGATGCTGATGCTGTTGTTGATGCTGATTGTAGTGCTGTCGAAGCAGCAGAAGTAGCAACGGATCTACAGACGAATCTTCTCTGTTCAACCACTCGGGCAGAGGCGCTTCGGGAGGAGAGTTTGACTCCCGCAAGCCGTTCAACATGAGGACAACTGCCGCCGCCGACAAAGCCGTCTTCGGCTCGGACACAGTTTCCACCAATTTGTTGTCGACCTCGTCGCGATGGGTTGTCAGAGAATTGGCTGCGCCATGCGGACTCAAGCATGCAGAAGGCTGGCTCGGTCTGGAGACAGAAACCTCGTCGTCGTTGTCGTCGTCGTCGTCGTCGTAACGAGCCAGTGTCAGTGCGGGACTCGAGCTCGAATCGCCTCGAGACGTGGCAGAGACCGGCTCTTCCGTGTCGGCCGTCCAATCGACCTCGTCCGCCACCGCCGCCTCCGTCATAGTCGTCGTCGTCGTCGTCGTCGTCGTCGTCGTCGCCTCGTACCTGCATCCGGCGAGCCGGTTTCGAGCCGAGGCCTCGGGACCGAGCAGGCTAGGGTGAGGGTTCGAGTCGGGCCGGAGGAGGGTGTCGATGGAGAAGCCGAGTCTGAGAACCGCCTGTCCGGCTGCCGGGCTTGTCGGAGTCGAGTGCGTCGGCCGAGGTGAGTAGGCCTCGAGGTCGAGCACCCAACTTGGCGGCGATAAGGTGGCCATTTTAAGACGTGATAAACGCCACTGACGGACTGAAAAGTATCAAAAGTGGCCGATTCGCTTTAGAATGCAACTGTACCGGTCTCGACGGAAGAAGTGGCCACAAACAGGCACATTCACTTTTACATGTCATTCGCTTTTCCTCTCTCTCTCTCTCTCTTTTTCCCTTCTATTTCTGTCTCTTTCTTTTGTAAAACTCCCACATTTTCCTACAAACCAACATCCCCCGGGGCTTGGCCTCTGGCGACTTGGGTTTGCCGGAGCCAGCCCGACTGAACGGACCAATCTGACGCCGACTTGTAGAGATGAGCATGAGAAAGTGGTACAGTAGTGTGGAGAAGAGAGAGAGCGTGCTACATAGATGGAGATACAGAGACAGATTGACAGGATAGGAAAACAGAGTATGAGCCGGATCGGACGAGAGGAGTCGGACAGAGCTGAGCAGGGAGCAAAGGGAATGACACCACCACAAGTGATCGGGAAGTCTAGTTGTCGACATGTCCCCCGAGGACGATTGGCCAAAAGAGACATTTGCTGCCAACCCAATGCGAAACGGACAAAGGCATGGTACCGGATATGACGAGAAGATGGATTTTGCGGAATTTCTGAATTTATTGATGCCGGTGTAATGCTCAGTTTGTTTCAAAGTATGTCTGGATGGTGTTGGTGTGTTGGCCTCAGAGACCATCATTTACGGAAATACTCGAAAAAAATACTGTACCAGAAAAGATGGGATTCCAGCTTTCCCGTCTCTTTTGGCTTAGAGCTGTCTGAGCTTCGGTATCAGATGAGGCCAACACACCAACTCCATCCAGTCATACTTTGAAACAAACTGAACATTATTTTGGTATTAGAGTAGAGTTTCGCGACTACCAGTAAATCAGTAATATGAGATGTATTCACACTATTTCGTCTATTTCATCAGCTTAGACGAAATTGGGTGAATACATCTCATAAAATGAACATTACACCAGCATCAATAAATTCAGTAATTCCGCAGAATCCATCTTCTCTTCATATCCGGTACCATTTCTTTGTCCATTTCGGATTGGGTTGGCAGCAAATGTCTCTTTTGACCAATCATCCTCGAGCCCCTCGATTGTCGGCCACTAGACTTGCTGACCACTTGTGGTGGTGTCATTCCCCTTTGCTCCCTGCTCAGCTCTGCTGGTCTCTTCTCGTCCGATCCGGATCATGAAATCTGCTTTTCTATTCTTCTCCGTCTCGATCTCATCCTCTCTTACTCTCGCTTTATCGTTTTACTGTACCCTTTTCAAGCTTGGGGTTCGGAATGAGCTGTAACTACCACATAAGTAATATAGGTAATCTCGAAACTCTACTTTAATACGAAAATATCACATAAGTGTCTGCAGATATCCTTCATATCCGTTACTTGCGGCACTAATTATTCAAAGGAGGAATCCTGCGGTTTTTGCAAAAAAATTCGAATCTTCCTTCAAGGACTCGGCATTATACCATTTTGTGAAACCGAGGAAACAATTCATGTCGTCTTCAATTAGGACATATAGAACTACTCTACCATGAAAACCCCTTTTGTGGAAGCGTAGGCACCGGAAACAAAGCTGGTATCCTTAAGATTGTCTGCTGTCTATAGTTCTGCAAGTAGGAAGCGAAATATTCTCCTAAAGTCGAAAAATCTAAAAAAATGGAGAATAATGCTCTGGTCTCAAGGCACACTAAAGCATTCTTATGGGACTCGAATTTTGCTTTAAAAGCAACAATATATGAAATACATTCTCCCTATTTCGTTGAGGTGATGAAATATGCCTTACGTTCCCATTCAATTGCACATAGCCATGCTTTCCCAAAGGGTATTCTCATCAGTTTGACAACTCAATTGCCACGCCAGACTGTCATGAATGCTCTTAGGTTGTAGGGCAGATGGGAATTCGTGAAAAGCCAGGCATTTTTCCATATCACACTCTGTGGCAGGACTGTCAATGAAACAAAATTATATTTGCTATAACCTATTTTTCATTTATACATGATTAATGTGTCGAGATTATACGCTGCATTGGCATAGCCTGAGTTCGAGTTCCGCTAGGAGTTCCGAAATGTAGCCAAGGTGAGCTCGAATATGCAGTCCAACCCAGTCTGGACAAGAATACCTTTTGGTGGACAGGGCTTTGTGCAATCCTCTTAACGAAATAGGGAGAATGCATTGCAAATATATGATCTATTGGGGGTCTCGAAAACCGACTTCTAAAAGTGAAATGAGTTAGACGCATCACAAAGCGGAGGAATACATTTTGTTGTTTTGTGTGAACAAGTGAACTGCGACCCGAGGAATACTGTATCAGCCCTACGCTTGCCAAATAATATCATTGGTTCACTTAGGCTCACTAAAATGATCTGACCTCGTCTGTTCAACTTGATCCTGCTGTCATAGCGACCCGAATGAACGCACGTTTTACGGAGTTCTCTGTCATGAAAGTCATGATTATTTACAGCGTGACATCGTGGACTTGGTATATTTCGCCAGACATTTTGTCAGTGAGACCTGCCATTCTTTTTAGATAAACTTCATTTCGTATAAAAGGGCATTGGGAAGAGATTTTCAAGTCGATCTCACCGGAAGAGGATGGCTTAATCGCGCTGTACCACAACCGTTTGGCTTTGATACGACGTTCAGGTGGAAACGGACTGAGCTTTCGTCCATCTTTCGGTGGACGTCATCAGAGCTGGGTCTCTTTCCTGTAGAGTTTTGCTTCCAAAAATATACTTATTAACCTATCCATGAGTAGTATATATTTTACCTTGGATGACAAGTTATACAAACAAACACAAGCACGTGAAACCCAGCTCTGATGATGTCCATCAGTCAGTTTTCACACAAAACGAGGGAAGAGGTTTCGTGGACTGCGTCAACCTGAACGTTGTATAAGAGCCAAAGGGCTGCAGAATAACGGGATTCAGCTGTCCTTTTCTGGTGAGATTGGCCTACGAATCTCTTTCATATGAAATGAAAGTCTGCCCAACAATGGTATCTCGGGAGATTTATCGAAATCCAATTACTTTTCGTATTTACCATTCTTAACAGTGAAGTAAAACTTGACAAAAATATCACATGAAGTCCACTTCTTAACCAATTTGGGAAAATGAGGCAAAATCCCTTTTAACCGGAGGATACAATT